ATAAATATGGGAATGAATGAATGAATACAACTTTATATGATAAACACTCCTTAATTCTTGTGTTCCCCACTCTGTCCCAGGAGTACAGAGTGGATGCCACAAGGGCATTAAATGGTAGCTTTACTTAATGCACCATTTTACAATTTCCAAAAAACATTTTAAATGTATACTTTTATCACAGTATTTGAATTCAGATCTCAAGCCAAAAACTACCCAGATAAAGTGAGAGGAGTTCTTTTGTGTTCAACTTCCTTCTATAATCTGTTTTCTGATATTCTACTAGAAAGGTATGATAGAGACAGTCCAGATTTTAATCCAAAACACAATATATTTGAATTAAGTGACTTTTCTCATTAAAAAAATAAATTCTAGAATACCTACATTTTCACACTCCTCACACATGATAGTGCTAGTCAATTCACCAACAAAGATCCTGTCTATAAAGTTCATCTTCACACCCTCTCTTCCATATGCTGGAAAAAAAAGCCTTATTTAAAATTTGGAAACACATAAACCCATTGTAAATATAACACAATTCTTTCTAGGATTTTTTTTTCTGAAAACAACCACTCCATGACTGAAGCTATAGTTTACATACACCAGCACTTCATAAAATTATTAAGAGTTATTCACTGATAAATTCAGTCTTGATTTCTACTTCCACTAGTTAAGTAATGTATTCCTGCCAAAACAAGGGATTAAATTACATGATATGATCCAGTTACATTTAACACAATGCACATTTTACAAAGCCATACAGAGTGCTGGCAACACTGCAGCACTTCCTGCAACTCCTGCAGAGTAAGCTTCCTTAATTGCTACAGGAGTAACACAAGAGTACTAGAGATAACACAAGTTGTCAGTTTTAGTATCTCAGTCTCAGGTCTGTGGGCTTTTAAAATTATTTGTAGTAAGCTGTCAAATACAAATGATTTCAATGAGTTGGTTTAAATCCCACCAGCCAGATAGCCCAATATATCTGCAGGCTCCAAGTTAGGGGATGCTAAGCCAGGGCTTTCCCATCAGGAAACACATTCATCAACAAAACAGCTATTCCACTTCATTTATTAATATATGTATTTTTATCTTAAACCCATGCAGTTGTTAGGTTTTTCTTACTGGTTTCACCTGAACTTGCCCACATGTGTGATGCACAGAGACCATGACAAAGAAAGGGAGGGAACAATGACTGCAGCCACAATAATCTCCATTCCATTTCTACTCCCAAAAGCCCCTTTTACTTTTCAGCTCTCCAGAAGACTGTTGCATTCACAGTACAATCCTATACATACTCAATGAGGCTTACTTTCAGAAGTAAGTTGAGGATTGCAGCACAGGCTGATCCCTTGCTCTCTCTTCTTACCACCCCCATTCTTGGCTCATTACTTCAGTATCCAGCTTATGGATATTGTTTGGCTTCCAATTTAGCCATGTCTATCAGAGCTGATGGAAGCTGACTTTCCTGGCAATCTCCTCAGGGCAGTCCCTCCAGCCTCCCTAAAATGCTACACCGGAGGTGGAGAGACTCTGCCAAATGTGGTACAGGGAAAATATAGAGAAATCCCCGAAAATCAGGCAAAGGGACCTTCCATGAACTGATTTTCTGGTATCCTCTGATCCTCCTTACACTTCAGTCTACCCTATTTAATCAGCTTCCCCAATCCACAATGAAGCATTTTCATGGGGCTGGAGGAGATGCCTCAGGGAGAAGGGGGCAGAGAGGTCCACTTCTACCAGCCCTGTTGCATGTGCCAATGACTAAATCCAATTCAATATGTGTAGTACAATATGCAGGACTCCCAGACTTATACATACACTCCTAAAGTTCTAGAATATGCACATTTATACAGCAATACTAGCATCAAGAGAAAGCTTAGTAAAATCTAGACAGGTGAATTAAGCTATTGCATGTATAAAACAATAAAACAATCTGATCAGTGTTTGAGCATGTGCACTAGATGGCACTAGAATAATAGGCACAAAATCAATAAACACACACACCAAATGTCAGGACTTTAGAACTCAACTGTGATTCGTTTTGAAAAGACATTAAAATTCATTAATAAATCATTTCATAAGAGCAATCATTTCATAAGAGCAATATACACAAACAAAATTATAGCAGGCTGTATAACATGAAAGAACTGTGCTGAAGAATAGCATACCTTTGACTTTTCTTTTGGTCTCCTCATCAGCAGTTTTGGTGGTTGGATTGTTGAATGCTTTTAAAATTGCTGCTTGTATGCGCTGTAGTATAAATATTGGGTGCATAATTAGGAAACAAATTGAAAATAAAACTGTCAATCTCATCCTGCCCTTATACAAATCTTTGGTGCAACATGCTTAGCATATGGTGTACACTTCTGTTCACCTTACCTAAAAAAGGATACTATATAGTTGGAAAAAAAGCAGGAGAGAAAAACAAAATATACAAGGGACTGGGGGAACTCGCTTTATGAGATAAGTTTACATAAGCTGAGATTGTTTAGCTTATAAAAAAGGCAAGTAAGGGAACACACGACAGAGTGCACAAAATCATGCATGGTGTAGAGAAAGTGGACAGAGATGCTTCCGTCTGTCCATCTCTCATATGACTATAACCTGGAGTCATCCTATGAAACAAACTAGTGGGGGCCAAGAGATAGATAAAAGGAAATAATTCACACAGCACATAGTTAGACTATGGAACTCATTTTCACAAGATGTAGTGATGGACACCAGTGTGGATGGTTTTAAAAGGTTCTGGACAAATCTATGGAAAAGCTTATCAATGGCTACTAGCTCTGGCAGTTCATGCTACCTCTAGATTCAGAGGCAGCATGCCTGCATATATACATCAGATGCTGGGGAACATGGGCATGAAGGTGCTATTGTGCTCCTGTCTTCCTTCTGGGTTGACGTGGGCAGCTGGTTGGTCACAGTGTGGATTTTGTCTGATCCAGCATGGCTTTTATGCTCTTACTTCATAAAAGCTCATAATTAAAAATCCCTTCAAAAATCCCTTCAGATGGCAGCAGACGTTGACAGACAATGGGGATGTTTATTTAAAACACAGCCTCCTACAAAGTTACAGGCAACATATAAAATATTATTAGTGTTAAAAATGTCCTGTTATTGTTCTTTCAAAGAGATTGATGCTTCTTTATTTGAAATATTTGATACTACCTTCAAAAGCAAAAGCCTTTCTCAAAATTGTTTCCAAATTAAAAGCATGGGCAAGTAAATATATACAATTAACTAAAGTATCAATAGTAAAATACTATTCCAATAGACATAAAAAATAAAAGATTGCTGAAATCTGTTAAACTGTTAACAAGCCTGTAGAATGATTTCCCCGCCCCACCCTGCCCTGCCACTGCAAACATGGAGAAACCTAAAAATGTCATGACAAGCCTAATTTACCCAGTCTTGAAATGTGTTGAGGTTCTTTCCACCTCTCTTAACATAGAAGTTATTGCCCTGCATAATTAGGATTAGCTAGGTATCTTTATGATGGAGCTTTTGTTACACTCCTTACAGCTAAATAGCCCTAATTCAAAAGACACTATAGCTTAAGCAAGCCAATCTAGATGTTAAATACATGCGTGCAATTTCACTTCACAGGTCAGAGGACAGCTAATTAAGTCTGTGGCATCCATGGGACAATTTAACCTGCCACCCTTCTGCAGTCCTCTCAGAACAGCTCTATCCACCCAAATAAACTGTTCTTAGCCCAGCGCAAATAGAAGCTTCCATGTGGGGATTAATACAGCCACTTCAGCGAATTATTATTTCCATTGGGACTGTATGAGTGTGAGGAGGGTTAGTTCCCTTCCGCATGCAACATGGTTCCAGACCTGAAGCTTTTTACTACGAAAGTTGTTTAAATGTATTCATGCATTTGCCTCAGAGCTAGTATGGCCCTTACTAGTGGCCTTTTGAAAGCCACTCTAGACCTGTTTGGATATCTTCCCACATGCAATTAACTATAGTTTAAGAGAGAGGAGAGGGCAGCACCCTCTGGCTTTGCCCCACGCCCTGACTACTTCCATTCTCCCCACCCAATAGTCCCTATATTGGAGGCATGTCTATAGAGGACACTCTATGTGCACACAGTTCTCCCATGATGCAGAACAGTGATGTGCACAAGCAGGGCCTCTTCTATCCACCAGTCTCCTACAATCTGCAAGACTAATTTGCAATATAGTGATACTCACGTAAGCCTACCATACAACGCTGTTTAGGATGACCAAGACAATTCATATTTTATTTCATTTTTATACCACCCAATAACTTAAGCTCTATGGGCAGATAAAGAACGCTAATACACACAATTAATTTAAAACAACAAAACCACAATAGCAACTGCAACTGAATCAGCAAAGAGGCACGACAGTGGAACAGGATAAAATGCAATATTTAAAAATAAAGTTAAGAAGTTAAACTATTACAATGCTGGGAAAATAAAAAGATCTCACCTGGCACCAAGAATAAAATTAAGTAGGCACCAGGAACAGCTCTTTGAGAAGCTCATTCCACAACCAGGGTGCCAAAACCGAAAAGGCCTTCTTCCTGGTAGCCAGCTGCCTCACTTCCTTTGGAAGGCATTCCCACAGAAGATAAATGCAGGGTCCAGGTAGGTACACATGGGACAAGGTGATCCTTCAGATAACCTGCCCCAAGCTAGTTAGGGCTTTGAATGTTAGTACTAGAACTGTGCATTGCACCTGGACTTCAACCAGCAGCCAGTGCAGCTGAAAGAGGAGTGGTGTAGTATGTTCTCATAAGCCGGTCCCAATTAACAGTCTTGTTACCCTATTTTGGATCAGTTGAAGTTTCTGGACCATTTTCAAAGGCAGCCTCACATACAGCTCAGTTATCCAAACTGTTTTTAGACAATGTGAATCCAGATAGGGTTGTAGTTGGTGTATCAGCTTAAGATGATAAAAGGTGCTCTAGATAAAAGGTGTTCCATGGTTTTCACTTGTGCCTCAAGTGAAACTCTGGATCCAGAGTCATAACCCCCAAACTATGAACCTTGTTCTTGAGAGGGAGTGCAACCCCATCCAGAACAGATTGATTATGACACTAACTGGACAGATGAACCATGTACTAATGGCACTTCTGTCTTGTCTGGATTGATTCTCAATTTGTTGGCCCTTATACCATATATTACCAAGTTCAGATACTGATTCAGAGTGGTCACTGCCTCACCTGCATATGAAGAAAAAGAGAGTAGAGCTGTGTGTCATCCACATATTGGTGGTTCCTCAGACCACACCTCCACATAACCTCCCCCGGCAGTTTCATTTAGATGTAAAATAATATAGCAGATAAAATAGAATACTGCAGTACCCCATGGCATAAGTACCACATCACAGAGCGATAAGCCTCCAACATCATTTTCTGGAATCAGCTGGCCAAGTAGGAGTGGAACCACCACAGAGCAATGTTTCTTACTCCTAGCCCAGCCAGCCTATCCAGACGGATACCACGGCTGATGGCATCAAAAGCACGTTTGGTATTGAAAGCAAACACCCTATATTATTAAAGTTCGCATCCTTTCTCAACCTGCTTTTCAAACATTAGGCAGATTATGTATTCATTATATTTATATTCTTCCCTTTTCCTGAAATTATGTCTTAATGTGCGTATTTTGCCAAATTCTCTCTCCTGATAGGGCTTAATGAAGAAGGATTGCTGCTTGAATCAAGCATACATGGAAACTGTTGACAAGGGCAAGAAAACAAGGAATACAAAGAACATCAAGATTAAAACAAAAGGCAAACAAAAGTCCTTTTTTGAAGAATATCATAAGTCTTTTTAGATTTGTTGATAGATGGAATGACAATAAAGTCAAATCTGCATAAGCCAATGATGAAAAATGGGCTGGTTCAATGTATTCTTATTAAATTCTCTTATTTTGCTTTGCTATAAATTATATAGAAATATATCACATCACATCTTGGTTTAATGATTTTGGGAAGCCAGTTTATCCTTTAAAAAGTCAACTCAGCAAACTGAGTTTAAACTTTGCATCTGAAGTTAAATACTAGATACAAAATGTATCTGAAATATTTACTCTGAAACAATGAGCATTCCAAGTGATGATTTCTATTTTATGGGTATCTGACCTGGCTAGTGCCTCAAGCCCCTCTTTGTTCATCTTAAATCCAACAATATACTAAAGAGGAGTAATCAATAAATAACTCGGCAAGTTGGATACCATAAATGGGTTAAAGGCCATAAGCAACTCCCTTTTTGTTGGGATGAGTGCGTTGAACCATTTATTTAGGTCAAAGAAAGACATCGTCTTTGAAGAGTTTGGGTGCAGCCCACAATAGCATCAGACATTAATCAATTAGCAGCAGGGTTCACATACTTCAAGCCCTGGTGTAAAGCTTCTCCAGTGCACCATGCTAGAAAAAGCAAACACTTTGCAAGTATTGACTGTTTCCATTTTAAAAAAATGACATGCATTAATGTAATTTAGAAGAATGCAAACACAAATGCCCACTCTTTGAAGTTAGAAACAGAGAGACATTCCAAGTTCACAACTATCAGCGCAAAACAAAACCACCCAAAAAGCCTGAAGATACTTTAAAACTCTCTTGCAGGATACAGCAAATGTATACTCAGTGTATTAAGAAAGCACATTAATACTAAAGTTTAAGTAGCATTTCTATTTTAAGGATCAAATACAGGTGATTTATTTAAGTTATAAACATCGGGATGTACTCATATGTTTTTCAGGTTATGCACAGATGATTCAGATGAAGAGTTCCTTTAGGAAAAAAGTGTGTTTGGGGAGGGGGTGGCTATTTACCATTTTAGTAAGACCAACTTGAACTTTACACTCAGAGTAACTCCATTTAAGAGCAGCCTGGAAAAAGGGAGGTTGTGGCTGTAATCATTTTTAAAGGATTCTGGTGGCAGACAGATTGCTGTAGGCTTTCTCCAGTAAAAAAAACCACATGGTAGTGACACTCCCTAAGAATAGGACGATTAACAGCTGTGCTGTTCCCATGACAGACAATGTTGCTCGTGTCTGTTTCAGAGTGGCACAACTGTCGATGCTCACAAGATTGACCAGATCCACAAATCTGACATTCTCAGTTTGTCACACCGTCCACAGACCCGAAAGGGGGGATGCAGGGGGGCAGAGAACCCAACAGCTTTTACTAGTAATGTCCCTGCTGTAAAGCCTGAGGTGATAAAGTCACTGTTCATGGTATTGTACCATTATGGCAAAACATGGATTTAATGGTTATTAAGGGTAGGATCAACCTTTTCTTCCCCATAGATTGGCTTGTAATGAAATATGTGCATGGGCACATACTCTACAAAAAGTTTCTGCGTATGCTAATTCTGATTCACTTATTTTGTTTTGATTTTTTAGAAGCAATAATTTTGTTGCTACAGAACTACAAAAGCAATAAAAAAGGGGCCAGTGTTTCAAATAGTTAAAGTTGTGAAAATTCATTAGCGGTTTGTGCCCTATTTTTCACAAAACAGTGTGCAAAGAAAGGGGTTTCACAGAGGCACATATGAATATACCAAATCAGTACTATCAAAACTGAGGAAATTAAACCGAGTTTTAGATTGCTGATACTGGAAAACACATGGTAACTACTTCATAGGAAAGGTCAACTTGAATAGTAAAGTTTTTCACATTTCTTATAAAATGTAACCACACGTGTAAAAAGGTGGCAGCAAGAAGAGGGTTCCATAACTAGGAAGCCACCACTAGAAAAGCCTTGTCATTTATACTAACCAATACAGCTGTTCCAGCTGGCAAGCAGATGAACACAGCTCCTGTCAGTGGCCTAAGCATATAGGCATCACATGAGTGAAGGCAGTCCTTGAGGGGACCTAGTTTAAGACCCAAACTAGCACTTTGAAATCATTCTTCCAAAAAGAGTGGTAACCGATTGAATAACACATTCGGATTTTCTACCCTTATCACCGTTTTGACAGCTGCATTTTGCAACCACTGAAGTTTCTAAGCTAGGTTCAAAAGCAACCCAATATAAAGTGCATTGCAATAATCCAGTTTGCAGATAACTAGGAGATGGGTTATTATGATGATCATATAAACAACACTATGCAACATAAAAAGTAGTCTTTGTTCTAAAAGTAAAATAGTAACTTTTTAACTGCTAAAGTTATCTAAAATGTATATACACATAGTATTTCCACAGTGTTTAAACTATATCTTAATATAAGAAGGAGATAGTACATAAACGCTTAATATTGTCATACCCTCTGTGAAACCTATTTCATTGTTTATTAAGCAGCTCACCCAGTCTTATAGGAAGAACCGAGGATGAAGCAAGCAGCTTCTACACTGACTCACGCCACATAACATTTGTCTTACTTATAATCTGATAAAGTCAATATCCTTTGGCACTTTGGCAAGTTTTTGCTCCAAGCCTTGTCCATATTTGCATTGTACAAAGACATCTAAAGCCTTGAGCTACAAATCAAGGATTCCACAAGCTGTACACAGAACAAGTAGTCAGCCCAGTGAAAAGCCCAGCATTGCTGAAGCTATGTCTAGATGGAAAATCACTGTCTAGATGGAAAATCATAAGCAGCTCATGTAAGCTGCTCTCAGATTTCTTAAGAATGAGTCAGAAATAGATTTACAAACAAAAGGAAATGCTTTGCTCACTATGTTAAACAAGCGTGCTATTGCATAGGACCCACAAGACAATATTTTCATGTGAGCTGTTCTCCCCACTGCTTCCACCACCATATCCCTATCAGAGCATCCACAGATAATTGTTTCTGCTGCTTCTGTCTCAAGGCAGGAAATGAGAAATACAATCATACTATCTGTTTTCTTTTAGGGGTCTTATAGCTATCAACTTCTATCAAGCAAAATAAGAACATAAGAAAAGCCATGCTGGATCAGAACTAGCATTCTGTTCACATAGTGTCCAACCAGCTGCCCACAGGAAAACCTTTAAGTGGGGCATGGAACTTACTCCTAGGAAATTGTGTAAAGGCTGCACACTTGGGTCTCAGTTTTCTCTGAGTGCAACAAGTCATCAGAATGCTCCTACCATGTGCATTCAATAATCTACCACCATATGTATAAATGTAAAACAGTAGAATAAAATGCAAGAAGACCTTTGAGAAAACCATGAGAAACAACTCAGAATAATTCTTAGGTTTGATTCATGTCCCTCACAACAATCACGAGACAGCAGAGCAACTTTAGAAGCTGTCTTATACCAAGCCAGACCCTTGGTCCATCTAACTGAGCACTGTTGACACTAACTGGCAGTGAGTCTCTAAGGTTTCAGATCAGAGTTTTTCCAGCCCTACCAAGAGATGGCAGGGATTGAACCTAAGAGCTTCAGTATGCAAAATACAAGTACCACAGAACAACAGCCTGTTAATGAGTCACCACTTAGGGTGACTATTACACAAAGTGCAGCAATATAACAAATGCTTTGACTGACCATACAATAAACCATTACATCATGCAGAAAAGGACAGATCATTTCTTAGTGTAAGGCAAAAAACTGCAATGTTTTCCTTTCTTTAGGAAATTAAGCCTTCTGTTTTCTTTTTTCTTTTTTTTTTTACTGAAATAAAAAGTGTCACCTTTGTTTCTTCTATTCTCATTGCATCCAACAAATAGTGGAGAACTTCTTGGCTGTCCTGTTGTTGAAAACCCTTAAACCGAGGAGCCCTACAGAGGAGAAAAAGACCAGAGAAGCTTTTAGGCTTAACAATAAAATTATGTACTTTGTAAGATAGTTTACATTAAACTGTGCTTCCTGAACAGGGAAAGAAAAAGTAGCACCAATAGACAGGTATATATGCAGGGCAAGGAGGAACAAGGCATGTAAAGGCTAACTTAGTATTCAAAAAGACAGTAACGTGAGACTTGTGTGAACAGGGGCAAACTGAACCTTCACCTAGATAGGTCAAACATGCTCAATTTGGGTACAGTGCTCTTCAACCACTCTAGCCAATGGTTGAGGATGATGGGAATTGCAGTTTAAAACTTCTGGAGGGAACCAAGCTGCAGAAGGCTGAAGAAGGGCCACCACCAGTGTCATGAAGTATGTTTAACCCTCTCACAATGGTGCTTCAATGAGATTACTTTCTTCAGTATAAGCAAATGGCTCTCATTTACTCTCTTTGGCAAAAAATTAAATGCTCCCATGTGGAAAAAACTGGCTGAACCAAGAATGCTTGTCCTGACTCAAGCCTACCATCCCTGAATGGGTTCTTCCAGTATTTAGCCCCTACTCTTCACATAGGTCGCTCAGTATAGCCATTTATTTAGCTCTACTAAAACAAACTTAGGTTTAAAGGTATATGGATTTTGGTCTATCAAAAACAATGAATTTCAGCTACCCAGAAATTACTTGTAAACTATATGTAGCCTAATTTGAAAAGCCTCATAAACAAAGAGAAGAACAGCTTGCTTACTTGCTTCTTCAACCACAGTTGTTGCGTTGTGTAGCTAACATGAAGCATTTCATTAGCGAAGAGAAATGCATATCCTCCCATTCATTTTAATAACACAATATCTGATATCAATTAAAATTCTAAATAAGGTTTAACTGACTGTTACTAGCAGAGTAACAAAGACATTCCTACAAAGACATTCCCTTTTCCAAAAAGACAGTAAGGTGAACTATCAAATGCTTCAACACTTCTGAAGAACATTCCCTTGGACAGTGTAACAGAAAGCGTGCTGCTAATTCATGGCCTTAAACAAAATCAATGAATGATCTGTCAGGGCAAGAAGTTTATGCGCCAACATCTTGTGCTGCCTGTTGCTTCACATTACACAGTACTTTGTCTATCCTTTATGAGGTCTGGAATCAGTGCTAGACAATGTGAGCCTGCTTGGGAGTTACCGCAAAAACACTGAAGAAACTTGCTTATTTGTGTTAAGTAGAACAAATTAAAGTGACACAGAAGTTTTAGATCTAACTGTATAGCTTAATATGTTTTTTTTCTTCAAGGAAGGATGCAGTTAGGATGATGCAAGAATCCTCCTTCAATCCTAACCAGGTTGTTAAGGAGGGCCTTATAGAAAACCCATAATCCAGTCCCTATGCTGTGGGCAGCATAAGGTATATTTAAAGACATGGGAGTACTGATAGCACTAACTTTCAGGAGAATATACCAAGAGTGTTTTACAGCTTGTCCTACCTCGCAGCCTTCCCTCCTCCCCCAGAGGTCTCCCTTGCCTTCCCCAATCCCTGCCTTCCCCAATCTTCCCAAATACTATGCAAATCACACCCATGTGTATGTACACATACTAAGAAGCTTAGTACAAGAAACAGCTTTTTTACTAAGCTTGTTAGGAAGGATGGAGGAATCCTGGCTTCTTGGTACTGCACAGTGCTGTAGCTTTATGACATTTAATGTTTACTTCTTTTAGGCCTAAAGAGACCGATGAGTATGTATCAACAGATGCACAAGTAACTTTTTAAAATGTTTATTTCCCAAACTGAAATATACCTAGAAATTAATTACTATTAAAGTGGACCATAACACATGCTGCAGAATCCCAGACATTTTTACCTAAGCTGCCAATGAAAAGCCAGGCTGCTATCTCATTGGAAGCTAAAAATTAAAGTAGCTTGTAAATACCAGCAAATGTCAAAGTCACCATAGTGGGATACATGCAGAACGGTTGTCTGCCCTACTTGACATATGGTATGCAGTATAACTGACAGAACAGAGCTTCGAGTGATATTTAATAAAATCTGAATATGAAGAGAAAACATGTATTTCCTGCTTTGTTCAATTCTATCTTTTAAGAAAGTTATATGAAGAGGGTCCAATTTTTATTTGTAGCCTAAAGAAAGATCTTCTGAAAAGTCAGAGGAACACAGGAGTTTTCAGTGCATGTCAGCAACTTGCCCTGTATATACTAATTTCATTTGTCATTTGCTCAGATGAGGCCTCTTCAGTCAAGAACTTATATATCTACCCAAGTTAGTGAGTGTAAGAGGGAAACATACACACAAAAGGATTGAGCAAGGAGGTGTTCAGGGAGGGGAAGGAAATGGGGCAGAAACAAGATGGGCCCTGTGCTACAGAACAAATGCCTCGCACATTGCCTAAGCTCCCTGAAAGGCATTCCTGGGATCACTAACAGCAGGGACTGTTTAGGTCAAGAGTGGTCCACCTGTGGTCCTCAGCCTAGATTTCACATGGCCTTTGCCCTTATTTAAAAATTTGCCTGCAAGCAGTCAGCTCAGAGCTCAGGCAAGAGTCATTTGCTTCTCCGTCAGCAGCCCACTGAGTGACAGACGAGAGAAGAAGGGGTGGCAGAAAAAGTCCACACTCACCAGCGGCTTCAGCCTGCCACTGTTGGCATTCACTTCCTAAGAATATAAGAAGGTCTTCACCTGGTGCCAGAAAGAGTACAGTGTAGGTGCCAGGCAAGGGTTCCTGAGAAGTCCATCCCATATTTGCAGTGCCATAATGGAAAAGGCCTTCTTCCTAGTAGCCACCCTAGGCAGGAGCTCCCTCAGAAGGACCACTGAAGATGTTCTTTGGTCCAGGCAAGTATATATTCCTTTTTAATGATGCAGAAACCCAAGAAAGGGGTAGGTGCTTGAGCATGACTTAACTGCCTTTCATACATATTTTTGATGCTGGATTCCATGGGGTGGGAGGATAAGAATTCAGGCAGCAATCCTATTTGGATTGTTTATCTGGAAGAAAATCCCACTGACTGTGAAAATCTCAAGTGATTGTGCTACCTGGCACCTTTACTTTAATTATATCAAACCTGTGAAATGGCCATTAGATGAAATCTGTCTATATACTGTACCAACTCAGAACTCACATTGGAGAGTACTTGTATAAAATGCCCTGTCGCTAAGATAGACACAAATACTAGCATCCATGTTACAAGGTGCCAAGTATTTAGTCTAACCTTCTTTGTGATACATGAACTTCTAAACAGGACATAATTCCAAGGTAGGACAAATACATGAATGAACTTTTCCATGAATTCCAGCAGATTTTTGCCATCCCTGAGTGCATGTCATATTTCAAGTTCAACTGCACCTTAGTTTTGTTTTTTTAACTATTTGTTTAAACATTTTACAGCCTGTTTTACTACCAGTGAACAATGATGGCATAGTAGCATATAATCAGAAGCATAGTTAAAACACTACTTAACTTTTAATATGAAAAATAGCAAGTTTCCCTAGATCTTTTATTTTGGGGTACAATGAACTCATGTGTCCTGGGATGCCTCCACTTCCACACTTGTTCCTAAGATTCTACTATCTCAGGAACATGCAAAAGCCACTCCATTCACAGGAGTATTTATTTCAATTTTTAAGCATGATTTATTCAGGGTTAAAATACAATTTTGATAGGATGCCATACTGGTATATAGATTCTAAATATCAATATACTATCTTTCCAGAAAAAGCAAAAACAAAAAACACCCTCTAACCCTTTCGACATCCTACATAAAATGCAGCTTTAACGCTGACCCTTGTCAAATATAAATGCTCGTTTAAATGGGGTAGTATGCACTTCTGCAGATACCCAAGACAGAACTTTGAACTTAGCCTGCACGTTCCCTCGTCTCCCATACACTGCTTACCAAAGGCACCCTATTTCTGTATGCATGAAACTGGAATTGCCCACAGTTGTACAACTATGTTTATGTTATTCCACTTATGCAAACAGTTGAAAAACTTTCTAGGAACATTTTTTTCAACAACAAAAATATCACAAACATCACAAGCAAACCCTTTAAAGTGTCGCTGGGACACTTTGAAGGGATTGCCCATAGCTGTTAAAACAGGGATCACAAAAGCCAGTTCATGTGATCTTCTGAAAAAGAAAATTTAAAGTAAAAAAAAGTTGTCTCAAGCCCAAAATGGCTTGTGATCATAGTGGAAAGAGAGGAAATAATTCAGTGTTCCCACAATCCTCAATATAATTTGGAGATATTCTTAGGGAGTAAGAATTTTCCAGGACACCTTTGTCTAAGACAGAGAGTACATGCTAGGCAACTACAGAGATAGAAGCGTTTAGTTGGATTTGACAAGTAAAAGATGTGCGTTCTCTCCTTGAAAATATGCTTCAAGCAAGATCCTTTGTGCAAGTGGAGGACTCTTAAGATGGTTGGTTGAACTGACCGCTCACAGATGTGCTGACATATGGAAGCCAGTGCCAATGTGCTACAACCTGTTGTACAGTGTCAGCAGTTTAAATGACAGAACAGGTTGAACTCCTGTTAGTGGCCAAAAGTATTGAAGGACAACTGTGACAGCTATGTCACAACTACTCAAGTCTATCATCTCAATGTGGTGCAAAATATGAACTATTTGAAAAGCACCTAAATTATCTTTAAACAAGGACCATTCATGTTTCTTGTATAATTTCACTAACACTGTTGTGATCCAATTGCCATTATGTTTAAAATGCATGCTCTAAAATTCAATTACAAGCAAAATTAAATGTAAATGTAATTCTTGCTTGCTCCCCTACAAGTTCAAAAGGGCTCTGAATAGATTAATATTAAATTTCATATAGAATTGGTTTTTGAGAGTCTAAGAAAAATGAAAAGTAACCTTTGTTTAGCAAATTGCATATGATTGCTTGTTTGCTACTTTATTTATGGTAATGCAACAGAACCAAAATAGTCCAAAAAGATAAGCAACTGTGACTGTAACCATAGCATCAGCAATTAAAACTTTGTTCTCATTGGTTAAGGAAACTGGCTCCCATCAATTAATTGTCCTAAGCTGAAGAGGATTACCCTAAATTCAGGTTACATGGTTCAGAAACTGACCCAGCAATTAATATGTAGAGCTAGACTCTGCCTATATATCCTAAATCCAAGCCCATGATCTGGCTTGCACAACAAGCCATGATGATTTATCATGTCATCCAAACCCAAACCACTTGCAGCAAGATAGCTTATTTTGTCGGCAATAAACCACCCTAATAACCCATGGTTTGGTCTAAGAATTGGTTGCCCAAAAATGGATTGGTGAGTTGTCCAAACTGGGTAATGTTATTGTGGGTAGCAGGAACTGTGTAACCAAGATCGTTCTTTGTAATCTGACGCATGTTACCACCAGAGTTAGCTCCTCCACCAATGCTCAACTGTACTTCAGAGTGACCATCAGTAGTCAACCACCCTTAAAAAAACTGAGAACTGTGATAGCGATTGTTGTTGGTCTTTCATAAGTATGCAAGTACTCACCTACAGGCAGCGCTTTTTTTTTTGTAAAAAAAAAAAAAAAAGTGCCGGCAGTAAGCACTCAGCACATGACCACACACACCAATTCCAAGCAGATAGCAGACACAAAAGCAGCCCGCAGGCACTATGTTAATGATGTTTGCTGCTGATCTGCTACACAGGCGGGGATTCAAAATCACTTGGAAAAAAAGGTGCTGGAACGCTGTTCGGGTGCGTTCTATGACAAAAAAAGCCCTGCCTACAGGTATCTGTTAGGAGAAGTCTTGTCTAGCCAATGTCCTCGTAGGTTTCGGCTGTCAAAGGGAGTAGCACTGTGGTGAAGTGCAGTAGAAAACAGAATGACAAGGCAAGACTGCATTATAGGCAAGGTTGCACAAGTTGTCAGAATCTCATTGCCTAACCACGCCTTGGAAAGTTCAGGCGAAGGAGGAAAAAGCAGCAAAAGAAGGTCCATCAAAAGGCATTGCAGGGGACAAAATATCCCCTTTATCAATGTGATCAAGGTAAAGAACTGTTAAAAAGAACATTACTGTCAGTGAACCGCTGTAATCACACCAGCAAGTGCTCCAGAAAGGCTCCCTGAGAAGTAGGAGCCGTACTTTCTCTCATTTCTTGAGTAGCTGAAGATTTGGAAAAGTGCTGAACAGGTGAGAACGGTCAGTTCCACACTTAAAACTGACAGGACTGCATAGACAAGACAGAAGTCTTGTTCCATCTCCCTTTGAAGGGTTAGCGTCTACTGATCCTCAAAACAGCAAACAGTGATGCCAGACACTGAAAATATATTTCATGAATTATGTTCTTAAGGATGTGTAGGTAGATTTAATAAATATCTTTGTAAACAACAAGCAATACTGCAGTGATAGTTTTACTGCAAGAAATCTATGTTTTCTATCTTGGCCAGTGTTCAGATGGTAGTAAATCTAAAGAGCTTCTCTCACACTTCTTTCTTGCATCATATTTATTAATTAGTCAGGGCTGGTGATACTCCAGTATTAGCTTTCATACTGCACAGCCCAATCTTAAGCAAGTGTTTGTCTAGAACATTGTTCTGTCCTAGATTACCCCTGAACAGTTTTTTTTTAAACCAAAACACCTCTACTTTCCAAAGAAGGTCAGCTCTCAATACTGCATCTGCCACACTATGGGAAAGACACACAGAATCTTAATGAATTGGCTCTGCAATGTCTCAATGAAACACAAATCACCAAATCCCCAGCAAATCCTTTTTCTGTCTTGCTCTTTCTCTTGCCTGATCAGTCAGTCAAACAGATAATCTTCACTGGCTGTCCCTAATCATTTAATACAGAAATGTGTTGATCAGTTGCTTCTGAGCCGGCCACCATATGGGCAGCTAAAGTGCACAATCTTATTATCTGACCCCCCTCCCCATAAAGACTGAAGTTTACAGTTAGAAAAATGAATTACACCTTAAGCAGTGACAATGAGGAAACATTTACACGGAGTGGGATATAGTCTGAAAAGCCTTTATGTTTTTGATAATGTATTTCAATTACTATGTTAAAACACATGTAAGAATTTTCTTTTTAAAAATACTAAGTATTTTGAAAGCCTACAACAGTTCTATATTAACAGGCTCACCCAGAATTACAGAAATAAAAAACAAAAACAATCTATAAAGAAGAATTTGTACTAGGTGAAATCAAAGAAGCTGACCAAAAGCTTCCATGAGGGAGAAGGGAATTGCCTCTACTGCAGCCACTGACTTCAAAAATCTGCCCCAGATCCTTGTGGAAACTTATGAAACAGAAAGGAGCGCAAAGGCTACAAGGAAAAGGACAGATAGGGAATATTCTGTTGGGCAAGCAGAAGACTGACCACGCAACATTGGATGTAATCCATTGGTTCGACTTCTATCAATGGTGGCAGGAAAAACCTCTAATGTGTTCCCCATTTACTTGTGTATAACTCACACAACGATGCATCAGGATGCACTTATGCATGTCTAGTCCGATGTAAGCCCTATTACATGTCATGGGACTTACTTCCAAATAAGTATGCATAGAATTACAACCTTAGAGCAAACAAGTAACATATTCTAAGTGGTCGTACTTATCCAAATCAACTCTCTGTGATTATCTGGAAAAGAACCCAAGGCAGAAAAAAGTCTTTTTTGGTCTTGCATAAATTTCCTGTTCTATTCTTAAGAATTGTTGCCTTTTCTAAACTACAAATTCAAGAGACTGAAATATAAAGCATTTATTGCCTATTACACAAAATTGTGCGTAGTCATACAAAAGCATCAGAATTTAAAAGCACACAAGACTAGCTGTATTTTGGGGAGCATACTATGCAGCAGAGAAGCTCCACTTTCCTAATTATCTGGAAATCTACCCCATAATAGGAAATACTGCCATAATACCTGGCTTCACAATTTCTTCCACTGCTAAAATTACTCAACCATAACAAATAAAAGAATTATTTATGTCCTCTTAGTCCATAAATGTTGTGTGAGCTACTAAGTCTCTAGATAAGTCAAAAGTCTGCATCCCTAATATTCAGAATAGTGGAAAACAAACAGAAGGGCCCTGTAGCTATGCACACAATCTGTCTTAGCAAAACGTCTGACAGCTGCAACACTAACAAAATTAACAGTGGATGAATTAGTACCAGACGCTAAACAGTTGCTATCAAAAGAATCATCGATTTCTTTTTTTCTTTAATAACCTAACAATCGAGAGAGAGAGAAACACCTTCATAAATTCAGATGCTTTTTGTTTAACACAGCACACCACTTTTCTACAGATTTAAATAAAATGGATTCTATTAATTGCAACAGTTCAGATGACATCCATGTAAAGCATGAAGCTGATATGAAGTCACTCTTACTTTTGGCAGAGCTGGCTGAAAAGAACTTTGGGAGAAAGAGGTCCTTTCCCAGTTTCTTTCATGCTGTGAAGGAACAGGAACATAGCTGAAGTCAGCGACCCAGGGCTTGCAAGGTTCACTACCAAAGGGTCCTTTGGGATCAAAATAAATATCATTATTTAATGAACAGTTCCTGCTTTCAATTAGTACATACAAACTAAACAGTTTGTGGAATTTCTAATCAACATTTAAGTGGAAGACGAAAAAAAATTAAGCTTGAGGTTTACATGTAAATTTTTAAAAATGTAGATTTCTGTTTTCAAAAGAGGATAGCAGATTGCTCAAGCATAATCTATCTGGTGATAGTTTTGAAAGTGTCAACAAAAAAGAAGCCAGTGTGGCGTAGTGGTGAAGAGCAAGGGACTGGGACTCCGACGATCTGGGTTCTAGTCCCCGCTCAGCCATGGAGCCAACTAGGTGACTTTGGGCCAGTCACAGACTCTCAGCCCAACCTACCTCACAGGGTTGTTGTTGTGGGGATAAGATGGAGGAGGAGATGTAAGCTGTCTTGAGCTCTTTGTAGGAAAAAGGCAGGATATAAATCGAAAAATAAATAAATAAGTTTTACCATATTTTGTAATATAAGAAAATATAGGGGACTTATAGAATGGTATTGGCTGGGCACTGAAAATAAGAATGATGAGCATACTCTTTCCCTACCAAATTATCATCCCCGCCCTCCGCTCCCAAACCAGCATTTGCTGAATCCAATCACACTTCAACCTGTAGATGTATCACTTAATTCAGAGTCCCTGGAAGCAAAATCCTATGCACTGGGTGTTCCTACTAAAGGAAATGAGAGAGGATGATTCTGGCTGATCCTATTTTCTCCCTGAAAAATTGCTTTGGAGGGCCAGGGACCTCCAAACCCTCCAGCACAATACAGCAGATAGCACAGGAGGCCACAGAAGGAAGAGAGAATCGGCAGAAATTGCACCCTCCCCTTCTTTCCCTCAGTGGGAGCCTCTACTGGACCTCAGTCCATTTTGTGTTATAGGAGGACACACTGGGCCCAACCGTTAGTGGTCTACAAAATCACTAATTAAAGTGTGGCTGCTACCGGCACTCCATTGAATTCAAACAGAAACACGACGTAAGTTCTATTTCTGAAGGAGAAATTGTGTCCATGTTTGTCTCTCCAAGTACAACTTCAGTCCATATACTCAAAACATTTGAAAATTGTCATGTTGCCCCCCATCCCCCAAAAGCCATTGTGCTTGCAAGGTCAGGGTTTGAGGAGAAAGAAGACCTTCTTAGAAAGTAGAGGCTTTTAAATCTAAATGTGGAAAGCTCCCTGTATTTGAGCTGTGATCCTAGACGGATTTGCTCAGTGAAACAGAATGACAATGAAAACATGACAATTTCTTCTTTATTAACTGTAAAATTAATTTTATGCTTAAATATTCCACGCACTGTTGAGAGGCACACTACATGCTTACCAGTTGAGATGCTGGACTCTGACCAATTTTTAGCTTTGTCCCCTTTTCTTTCATGTCATACATTAGTTCATTTAACATGTGCGTCTGTGCCAAATTCTAAAGAGAAAAAGGAAAAAAAAGCTACAGATGACATTTACCTGTTCATTGGACTATAGCAATGAATTCATACTGAAAGTGACTCAATACTGTAGAAGGCATAATCTTCTTAAATGGCAGTAGTACAACAGTCCAGAGTGCTTCTGTGTTTAATGTGCATTAAAATGTTTTAATGGGCAGCTGCCCATATCATTTCACAAACCAGTTTTGAAACCCCTTTAATGTTCAGAAGTTCCAAGAGCAGCAAGCTTCCATTTTTCAAAAAGTAAAATTCCAGCTGGTTGTGACATGACCTGAATTGAGAGAAAGGCTGCTTCAGCACTGGCTCTTTTGTCCAGAAGTATTGCTTGTTCATTGTTTCTTTGCTTGCTTGCTCGCTTGCTTGTATAATCAGCTAGACTAAGGGTGGTTCCAGGCAGAGGGCTCCTATCATTCAGAAGTCATTTGTGTAGGTAATTCCATCTTTCTGGTAAAGTGGATTGAAGAAGCAGTGGGAAAAGATGGAAGGACCACAGGATAATCTTGTCTGTCCCCTACGTAACCCAGTAAATCTATGAATGAGGCAGTCCAATTGCATAGTAAAGCCTTGTCTAGAAGCAACTGTTGTTCCAGGTTTCCACCCATTCTTTCATTCCTTTTTGCAACTCTTTTTTTTTCTGACATAGTTGCAAAATTCAGTACAATGTGGAACCACTATTTTAATTCAAATTATAGCTAAAGAAACTTTTTTAGAGGCAGCTGCAGAGTAAATGCTACTGTTTCACTTTTAAAGATTATATATAACAATGACATCAACTGTACAGTATATTTATATGGACACTGCACACTTTTTATAACTCATTTGCACAAAAATGGAAATATTCAAAACAGAAAAGTAAGAAATCCATATGTAATCATTTCAAAACAACTGTTGTTTATTTCTGGCATTAATTTGCTAATATGATGGTACATGATCCAAAATGTTACCATGTGTTCCTTAAAACACAACTTCCAATGGTGGCTTTTAAAGAAATCCACTTAGTATGGGGACTATAGGATGGCATCCAGTTTCTAAATGCATAACACACAATGACACTTTATTTTAGCTAATACTTTGAATCAGCAACTCAAAGACTGTGTTTTGAACAGTTATTTCATTCAAGTTCCAGAGATAAGGGTCTTGATTTTGTGCAAAACACTGAAAAAATACTTGAAAATGTGAGGCCATTTTCAGCTGAAAGTCAGAAATCAGGATGGAGCTGTTCCAGGCAGTCAGTACTGCAGGGGGAAAGAACTATGTACAGCCCTTGTACAAGTGTTATCCACTTGTTTCTAAACTTGGGACAAGAATCAGTGCAAATTCCAGTCTTATTTCTTTGGTTTGTATCCAACATTAGACTTATACAAAGAAGGCAATCAAAATGAATAGGACTTAAGTTAGATTAACAGTGGATATAACTCTGCTTTTCACAGTTCTATTTCAGGGAAAGGAGAGAGCCTTACCTGCATGACAGCATTAAAGAAACATGTATTTCCTAAATTATTAATGCCTTTAACTGGAATAGATGCCCAACTGGAACTGATGCCTTTCCCCTTTAATATGTCACTCGCTTCATTCCTTTCTTCATGTAGCCATATAATTTTTGATGTTGAACCTTCAATGGGAGGAAAAATAGGAACATCAGCTATGGCCCAAAAGTTAATGCATACTTTTTAACTTAGTAAAATAGATGATTTAATGTAAATGAAGACAGTAAACTTAGAATAACACCAGATTCCTAAGGCCTTGGGACATGCTCTTCTATGAGTTGGCAAACAGCCAATATGAAAATACAGTAAGTTTTCAGGTCATTATTAACCTTCCTTAGTGATCAAGAACACACACATGTTGTCAGGGGCTATTATGGTGCAAATATCATATTCATGCTCTACTTCATGTGGAAAGAATGGTCAAGATTCAAATAACTTCAAATGCAAAGGAACTTCAAATGCAAAGACTTTTTTCCCTTTAAAACGAAATATAAAATTCCCTTTCAAAAACAATCTGTGATACAACATACCACAAAATTTTGACAAAGCCAGAAGGATTACCTTGAATAAACCTAAGTCGCTTTTTAATCCTGTCCTACAATGATACACGAACATTGTCATGTTTCAAGTGACTCTGAGCCTTCACCTCACATCGGCCACACATTTCCAAGTTTTATCAGCTTTCATGAGAATTAAAGCACTTGTAGATGTTAGCAGGTTGGAGGGCTAGAAAAACCCAAAAAAGGCCAATTTCTGTGTTTGTGATGATTCAGGTCCTTCTGTAAAATGCACCACATCATGTTCTCTATACAGGACTCATATCTTTAAGGTGTGTACAGGCATTGGTCACAAGAACTATGAGTGACATATATAGTTATATCTACTGCCAATTATTCAACAAACCACACATTATTATTACTATTTGAGAAGGAAAAACTATTATCTAACAAGGGATATTTACAATCCACTAATTCATTGCAACCTCATGAACCATTTTCCACATGCCATTCCAACCCCTCTTCCCCCTTCCCACATGCAAATTAAAGGATAAACAGACTCCACTGGACCGTATCCAATGCTGCCTTTGCAGTGACAGGATCTTCTCTTAGCACACTTGAAGGCTAGCAGTTCAAGAAGGAATCAGAAACACTTGTTTTTGGAACGGGGAAGGTCAGCAGACCTCACAAAAGTAACTCCACTGACTTAGTTCTGCCTTGCGTCCAACTTGTTTCTAGAACTGATTTATGAAGAGCCAGTTGTCCTGTGAGTGCTATGGAATGAGCAGAGGTGCAGTAGCAGCAATTGATACCACCACTGTTTCCTAAACTAGTCAGGCACTTGCTTTGTGCTACCTCGCCAAATCAATGATAGAAAACACAACATCTGTTTTCAACTTCTTGAAATATACAAGCCCTTATTTTTCTCATCTGTTAGAAATAAATGCCAAGTTCAGAGAAGAGCTTTAAAAAAAAAATAAACCGGAATATTGCTAAGTTGCTTATATGTACTTCCCATTGAAATCAATGGGGCAAGTTACTTGTGACTCAATTCCTACTGATTTCAAATAAAACTTAGTTCAGTTAGAAGTCTGGATCCAACCTTCTGCATTTTCCTTAACACATCCAAGCAACTTGTGTCTCCTTATTCTAGATGTCATATTTGGGTGCACCTCTTCTTCTTTCCCTCCCTGCCCTGCAACTGATTACAGCACGATGTAAAATGTGCAATACAGTCTGAAGGGCCTTTTCCAAGTTTTACATGGAAAACTATGTCCCAGATTCCAGCAAAACAAATCTATAAAAATAGTATTTCAATTATGGCTGCAATAAGAATCATGCAGCATAATCATTTGAGCATGTCTACTAGAAGTAAATCCTATTAAGTTCAGTTAGACTTTTAGTTTGTGCATAGGATTCCAGCTGTAATTTCCAACCCACCAAGGAAGGAAGAGTTCAAATTAGTTTGTAGTACACTTTCAACTGCTAGATGCATGTCACGCTGTCCACTATGACATATCTGAACTTTTATCTGCCCACTGCACACAGTGTGAAGTTCTATTAATAGGGATATAGATGCATAAGAGATTGCTTTTTGCTTTAAACCCTAAAACCCAAAAATATTTAATAAACTGTAATATAATGTGCTACCAGTACAGTGTCCTTGTACTTTCCTATTTGCCTTATTGCTTAAATAGATACAGGGCAGTGAAGTTAGACAGCCATTAACTTGTAGCCTAGAGGTAATGAGAAGACTTGAGACACAGTATTTAGCCTAGATTTCTACTAGCAACTTTCATATTGTCATGGTTTCTGTACTAAATATGAACATTACTGACATCTACAGCATTTCAAATATTGATTAACAATGCATGTCAATGTGAACAAGTTATGGACTTAATGGATGCCAAGAGCTGCAGTGCTGCAATCTACATTTTGACATATGAATTCATACATTTGTCCTAATGAGTTGCATACTGAGGACTCATTAAATGTTCTTAAGAAATAACTAAACAAACCTATTTGCATTAGTGGAATTCTTATGCTGCAAGATTTCTGTACACATTAGTCTTAGATACTTGCATCCCTTCTTGGGGAGAAGGAAGGGAAGTAGGAGAAAAGTATAATTAAATTTTGATAGAAAGAAAACAAATATGATTTTAAATGCCCATTATGGATGACATCAGGCTGTTGGCATAATTTGCCTTCCAGTGAAGACACATTTTTTGAATTTTTGCCTGGGTTTGCAGTTAAATGGTTGTACCTACCCCCATTCCTTCATGCCCATAATGACACTGTTCATATAGAACACTCTTAGTCCACTAATCAGACCCAGTGAAAACCAAACAAGACATACCAAAAGATTTAGCAGCTGCTTCATCTATTACATTTCTCCACAAACTGAGCTATTCTCTGTATATCTACATGAACGTATCATAAAGATAAAAGGCATCAACAGCTGCTGCCTGACTACCATTCTATTCAATGGGGTTTCACAAAAAAAACCCACTTCCTTTTAATTGTTCCCAGGACATTTTGTTGACTGGGATGAAAGATAAGGTGATTCTTCCCCTCCTACCGCAGGCACCTTTCATACAGGAACCAAATGAATCTTACTTCAACACTGACTTAGGGACAACATTCTCCATCACCTGAGGGAAGCAGGACAGTATAGCAGGTGCCATGCACACCTTTCTTTATTTGATTTATATGCAGCCCGATTAGCCATGAGGCTCTTTGGGCAGCTTACAACATAATCATTACAACAACACAATAAAATCTGCAACTGCAATAAAATCAATAGTAAGAATAAAATCAATAATAATCAACAAAATGAATAAGTAGTAAATAAAAATAATTTAAAATGAGAGGGGATGCAACATATTGAACCAATTAAGGTAACAAATTAAGATAAAGAATAAGCATACATAATTAATTCATGAAATTATAAAATAGCAGCAATAATTAATAATATAAAAACTTTTAAAACCATCCTTAAAATTACAAAGCCAACAGATTCACCTACCAAAATACATGTGGAACAGGTGCATCTTTGGTTCAAGTCTAAAGGAATATTAGGATGATGCCAACCTGATTTCTAGCAAAGCTGAGTTCCATTATTGGGGTGTGGTGATGGAAAAGGCCTTCTTTAATGCCATCTCCCCCTCACTTCAGCAGGGCACACACAGTTCTGTCCTGCCTTCTCCTGTGCTGGAAGATACCTAGTTCTGTCTAATAGCAGGGCTGTTTCTGCAAAACAGCCATACCCTAATGGTATGTATCCTAAGTTTTATTTCCACCAACATAACATTCAGCAATCTGAAGCTTTTATTTTCCAAATGCTGTGCCTATAAAAAAAATCCCATTCAGAATGGAAGTATTTAACTTTTCCACTGGCATAAAACCAAGGGATGGGCCAAATTAAGATCTCCATACATTTTGAACTATAACTGACACAGGCATAACCAGCACATCAAAGCATCTGGAGGTCTGTTTCTGTCCACCCTTAACTTAGATGATACTCAGAACATTAAGCTGGCAATAAGAAAGAGATGCTTTTGACATTTTTTTATTAATTAGAGCTGTATTCTAGCTACTCAGCATGGTACAGATAGATTGGGTTTAGAATGAAAGAGGATTAACCCATATCACCCAATGAGCATTATAACCATTGAAGTATCTGAACCTGGGTCATGCCAGCCTAATTCCAACATCTACTCTCTACCCCATACTAGTCCTCCTCTTTAAAAACTGAATTTAAGTAGAGGACATTTTCATACACATACACACACACACACACACACACACAACATAAACATATTGGTTACTTTTTTTGAAAAGCCAAAATTGTGTACATAATTTGCATACTGGCCTATCACAGTTGTTGCATTTATCCATCGGCATTCAACAACATCTGGGACAACATCTTAAAGTAAACAATGCTCACAAGGCCATCTGGACAAAACTGCAGGCAAAAATTAGAGCAGAAGCATATGGAAAAGCAGATTTTTCTCTCCCCTTCAGCAGTGCAGGATGACAAATGTCAAACCTAGATCTGTCCACGCTTCACTGTGCTATGCTTTGCAGCACCACCTGGCTCTCCTTGCACAGCCACCAAATATGGACAGCGTTGCCACAGAGGACCGTATCTGCAGGGCAAACTCAATAAAAGCATTTCACTTCATGGTTAAATGACAGCTTCACACAAGTAGCAAGGTTCTGTTTACTGAATCTCAAATTTGAATCATCGGGAGGGGGCACCCATAAAAAAACAAAACAATGAGCAGGACAGCTTTGTTGCTAGACATCAATGCTCATGCAATTATAAAACGCAGGAAGCCGTAACTATGCACCCAAATTGTATATTAGCTTAGGGCTTATTAAGAACCTGGGATATTAATAAAATGGTATTTTACCCATTTCTTAAAATCAGACGCATTACCCATGCTTCAATTCTAAAGCATGCTTTTCTTGGGATTAAGTCCTTCTGAGTAAATGTGCGCCAAATTGCACTGCCAGTAAAGCTCAATTTCAAGGAGGTCACCTCATTAAAGCTACAATTCTGAGCATACTAACTGTTGGGAATAATCCCACTGAACTCAGTGGGACTTACTTATGAGTAAACATTC